CATTTTTTACTTGCTAAAACCAGCAGTTATTTTTTCTCTCTTTTATTCTTTAAAATTTAAATAAAAAAAAAGCGGTACATACTTTGTCCGTAAAAATAAAAATCCATGAAAAGTTGAGCTTTACTGCTTTAATTTGTAAAGTTCTAAATTTTTGCAGGAAACACAATCAACATCCTCTACGTCATTTCCGCTCCCTGCCCGTCAAACATGGCGCTGCTTCTAAGGTCAGTACAGCTGTGCTACGTGACTTTTAGGCTAAGAATGAACGTATAAATGGGTTTATTTGAGGTTTCTCGGACTCGGTGACATATTTGCAACAGAATTCTTTAGAACCGAGTCCAGTTCACCTGAACTTTCCTTTCATATCTGTTGTTTACTGTGAAAACAGAGCGACGCATCTCAGCTAATGCTAGCTATGCTAAGGCATATTATCATTAGATGTCTTCAAGTGCGAATGGACTTTGGCTCTAATCTCATTAATGACGGACTGAAGCTACTTTATTGTATATTTTAGCTTTTTTACGGGTCTTCCGCGACCACCCGATCCGCTGTTTATAATCTGAGTGTTTTCAAACAACGTTTGTGTTAAAGCTTTGTTTTATGTTTTTACTACAATAAAATCAAACCTTGTTAAACTCCGTTTACCTAATTTACCCAAAAATGTTAAAGATGAATAYATTTCTGGTCAGATTTATATTAAACATGTGAGATGATGGTACAAAAAAACAAACAAAAAAACAGGAAGATGTTAGTTTTTTTTAACAAGTGAGCGAAACTTATTTTTGTTTCTTTGTGTTAGAAATGATAATAAAAACTGTTGTCTTTCTTTGTTTTTAATTTTTGTTTTGTTTACTCAGTCACTTAACTCATCGTTTTGTATGAATATAGTTTTAGCAACATTCCCAAAGTTTGTTTCTAAAGACCTGTATGTTAAAAGTTTACTTATTTACACATTTATTTATAATAAGCTCTGTAAGTGTATCGTTTTGTATGTGTGTATGTATATGTATGTATGTATATG